GAGAGAGAGAGAGAGAGAGAGAGAGAGAGAGAGAGAGAGAGAGAGAGTGCGCTGGAAGAGATCCATGGCCATATGACTGATTGGGACTCTGACACTGAAAACTGTGACACTGTAAAAAATACAGGCGAAGGACTCCCAGAGGGGTCAAACACTCCCGTTGTATTAGTGGAAAAGCAGAGAAACCAGATACTTGTATAGAAAGGGTATGATGTAATTTTCTAAAAAGCTCATAAATTATAAAAAAAATGTTCTGTAATGTGTTTATATATTTAACAACTCTCCGCTGAAATATTAAACACCTACAGTGTTAACAATCAAACTGCTTACGGCTGTTTCATAAAGGGGCGGCCATTTGTCTTCCTGCACAGAGGAGAGTTAAAAGAAATTCAGGCGGCAGAGCAGGGCCACAGAACTCCATTTTGAACCTTCTGAGAAATGTTCAGCGCAATTGATCATCGCACTTCATTTCACAAGGCACAAAGCCTGAAGAGAGGGAGGCTCAGTGGCAGGAGGAGGGAAGGAAATCAAAAACAGTAAACCTGTCCATCTGGACCCCGTCTGTGTAGGCGGCTGGCTGCTGCTGCACCCTGACGGGGCTTCCACGCTGCGAGCGGCTGATGTGTCGCTGTAATCTGACCCAGTGTGGGCGGCGCAACGAGCTCTGATTGCTTCTGTGTTTCTGGTCTCACGAAGTTTAGGACGGGCCAAGTTATTCATGTCTTCGCCGCCGTCCGACAGCACGCAAGCACTAAACGGGGAGCATCAATCTGAAACAACAAACCCAAAATGTCACAAGAAAAATGAAGCTGTGGGCAGAAATGTTCACTTTTAACAGGAAACAGGAGATGATTATATGTGAACGTATAAAAGGCAAAGTTATGAGCCATGTAGCAATATATATGATACAAGATAATTATATATGTATTATACTGTGTGTAGCAAGTTAACAAGTCAGGCAGCATGGTAATTATTAAGTTATCAAGGATTATATAGTTATTATACAGTTTTGTAACCGTTTATTAAAAACAAATAACGTATCTGCTGCTTCTGGACTGTGTGGTTTGTGTGTGTCAGGTTTCATTGACAGTAACCACATCCTCGTTCAAATTTTGCGAAATCTTGATCAGTGCACGGAAGTATGTGTCATCCCCCTTTTGTCCCACCCACTTCAAATCAGTGAAAAGTGCACAGAGAACAAAAAATAAATCTCAAATATGAACCAAAAACTGACTGCACTTTTATAGAAAATGTGGTCATGTAGGATCCAATCAACTCATGGCACAAAGCTGGCTGACAAATCAGGTCGTCAGGGCATTTAATGTTTCTGTTCTATGGATGGCAACCTGTTCTCCGAGCATATGACAGTTAAGCTTTGAAACAGTACTTTGCCTGTACTTTTGATAAGGGACAGAGCAGATTACTGACAACTCGTTGATCACGTAGCTCACAGAGCGTCTGAACACGCCACCGGTTTACACAAATGTTCCCTATTTCTTTTACACATTGCGATCTTATCCACTTTTATTGCAGTATATAGGACATGTTCAGTGCCCTGCTTGTGAGCCACTTCCCTGAGCTTTCTGTCATGGCTTGGGAATTATTCATTTAAAACACGATTGATGTTCGTAAAAAAAGGAATCCAATGACCACTGAAACCCAGGTGTGACATAAATGGCTAAAGGGCGGAGCAGCCTCAGCAGGCCGACGTGCTCAACCAATGCATCACAACATCCCTCATTCTTGCTCCTCTATCTGTATAAAGATAAGAGCGGTGGATGTTAGCTGGCTGATTAAAAAGATCAGAAATAAGAATGGATGAGGAAAAACTACGATTCAAATGTGACATCTGTATCCTGTGAATGCTCCCGGCGTGTTTCTTGGAAACGCTACAGAAAAACGGTTATCTGTCACTTTAATGACGAGGGTAAAGATCTGGGCTGCAATTAGTAAATTATTTTCTTTACTAATGATCTGTTTTTGTGATAAAAGACTAATGGATTGCTCTATAAATGATCAGTAAATCATGAAAACTGCACTTTCCAAAACTCAAAAGGTATTCACTTTACTATCAAAGAAATCCAGAAAATGTGTCATAAAGCAATTTATCCAATTTCTAGTGAGACGCAGAGACACATGACGTTAGTTTGTTTTTGGTTATCAAACAAATGTCTCCGCTGTTAGTGTGGTAATGGTAGTAATTAGTGTCAGGATGCTGGATGTTAACACCTTTAACTGGTGCTACGGGCAACATTCACACAGATATCAGGTTGGATAAAAGAATGTCTGTGAACGGTTTCCAGGAGATTATTGTTGCTGGTGTTTCTGTCTCTGTCTCACACTCCCTCTGTCTGTTTCCTCCATCAAAGCAAAACAACAAATCCCAGTATCCCTGATCTTTCATTACCGCCTGTCTTGCTTTATCCCTTAAGGTTCAAGTCTGAGCCTTGTGGTTTGTATCTTCTTGTATTTCTTTTTTCTATTTTGTGCATCTCTCCGTAGCATGAAGTGCTGGTCATGCCCTCCTTCTACAATAATCCCAGATTACACATAGACATTGGGGTGTATGTATGTGTGTAGGATCATACCGTTATACTGGCACACATCTTGTTTTCTTTTACTCTCTATGTATGCTTAATGTCATTTTGTGTCTGCCAATTTCCTCTTTTCAACCGCTGACCTCTGCACCTCCACAAATTGTTGTAAAATTCGGCAATCCAGCCTCCACAAAACACTAATCAGATCTCGGATTTCCAGAGCTGCTGTTCGGTCTACATCAACCAGAGGACCTGACCCAGATGTCACTTTCCATTTAGAGGGAAAGAATGAAAAACAAATTGCCATTGGGGAATTCTTGAAAAACAAGCAAATTGTGAAAAAAAATTACGGTACTGCTGCTTCTTTTTCATGCCGGCTCTTCCTGTTTTCAACACCACTTATTAGTCAGAATGTCTCATATGCAAGACTCAGCTCAGTACCAGCTGTGCTGTCTGTAGTGTGAAGCTGAATTTTATATATATATATATACACAGTATATATATATGTATTGAGATGTATACACACAAGCAAAGGGGAGAGCGGGATGGCACACGCTGTTTGTATAATAAAAAGGTGCTGTTTGCAGATTGCAGGGTCATTACGGTGTCTTCTTTTTGCTGTGTGCTATGAAGCTCCTAAATTTAAAAGCAAAGCACCGTCCTCTTTTTTTCTTTTTTTTTGTTCAGGGAAAGAAAAAGGGAAAAAAAAACACATTAACACGCTTAATTATTGCTCCAGTAAAAACAAAAAAAAGGAACTAATCGCACGAGCCTTCCAGAGGCAATATAGAGAATGGATGTCAGGATGTCGACCTGTCTACATCTTGATAACAAATAAAAAAAATCGATCTAAATTTAAAATCAGCCCATATAATAACGTAAGTGTTTTATTTTAATCAATTCCTCTCCGAGCGCCGCTACTTTCAATTGTTGATTTTATGGCAGCTGCCTGCGTGGCCTCTGCCTCCAGTCCGTCCCTCTGGATTCATTTACAGGCCTTTCGTCAACGTACTGTTGCATGTTTTTTATGGCCACAAAGCTCTGCGAGCAGCTGGGAGTGCCGTGAGTTTGCCGCGTGCATTCGAGCCATCCCGAGGAGAGCAACAATGGGAGATCCAGAGCTGCGGCACACGTGTGAGTCAGTCACGTTTCAAATGTGTATTTTCTCAAGTCAGTTGGCAAATATCTGCACTTGGCTTGGCATGCCCACTGTACCCTACTGGCTGCCAGCTGTCACTCAGGACAAAACAAAGATGGAGGACTGAGAACGCGGGGGAGGGGCTAAGGGAGTGGTGACAATGTGAGGACAGCCCCGAGGCTTTCTTCCTCTCCTGTTTCTCATTTGTCTCTCTGATGATAACAAAAAAACACGGCAGCCCCGAAAGAAGAGAGGTCGACATCAGAGAGAGAAAGGAGGAAAGAATGCTGAAGGGAAGGAGGGCGCGAGAGCCTTCTCCGGAGAGGAAACATGACAGAGCATTTTTCATGTTAATGGGAAAAATTACCACAACATGGTGATTCTTAATGCATCAGTCCGCATGAGTGCACCCTTGGGTTTAACGCGACACCAACCACACACAACAATGTGGTATTTCATGCATACTCTGCATGGGAGTAGAAATCCATCAATATGAGCGAGAAGACTAATGCGACTGATGCCACATTTGGCGTCGCACTTACACAGTAAGTGGAGTCAATCACGATGTAAGAGGTGTGCTGTCGTTATTACGATCCAAACGCGCTACTGTACAAAAAGGCAGAAAAATGAGCAGTCCATTTAAGAAATGCTTGTTTTGTTGCATGATGCATGAAGACTTTTACCCCTTTACGGATCCTGCTGCACTGAGCAACCAACCAACACGCTGTACAAAATGTGATGTCATGGCGGTTCTCTGACTGTGGGACCATCAATCAACCAACAGTCACAGCGCCGCGAAGAGAGAACTTCAGCTTAGTTTACTCTGAAGAAGTGTCAGCAGCATGTGTGGGTTGAAAATCCTCTGTATCAGCACGTGCATTGGATTTGACATGAAGCCACTTGATATTCTTTGCTCTGCTGCAGCAGATTTACAGATTAATAGATTTCTCGAAGCCTTTCATGGTACACGATCAGGCATGACACATGCAGATACAACTAGCTTGTATTCCTCCTCATGGGAAACATTCATATTTAATACATTTGGCATATATGAAAAGGCTTACAACCGAGCGGCACTCTGCAGCTATAGAGTGATTCTGACACTTTTTGAATCCGCATGTGTTTGGTTAACACATGTCAGATACGGCTCTATCACTGACAAACGGAACTGAGCATGCATGCTTTGGCTTTTCATAAGACACTGATTTCTGAGATTTACAGTGTACAAGGGGGCTTAACAGATCACTAAATCACTGGAAGACACATTCTGTGACTTGTGCTGGATTTAAACGCTTTAGTGTCTACAAATGTCAATACTACTGGGCCTCAGAAAGCCTCCTCCACCTCTCATTTAGAGCCTGAACCGAGAAGCAAAACCACCATTAGCTGCTGTTGTTTTTGCCTTTTAGATTTCAAATGTGTCAGCTTTCGGAATGTCCGTTTTGTTTTCACTATCACTATTGTCATATCGTCAAAATACATGTAATAATTATCACCTTAATTTAGGCCTCAAACGCAGGCAGTAGCTCCTGTGTTACATAATAATAGTTGTTAGACTAACACACCATGAACAATATTTCACTCAACTAAAAGGTCCAAAGTGCAAGATCTGACTGGAATTTTAGCTCAAAACATTTAAATGAACTAATATTAACAACAGAAGGTGAGGAGGTTGCCATGTCAGCATTATGTCACAGACGTCTACGTATTGTGTTGCACAGAAATGGGCATGCTAACCAGCTAGCCTTGGCCCGTCCTGTCATGTAAAACCACTCTGCGAAGTTGTCTTCTGGCAGAGGAGAGGACGAAACCAACATACCGGCCATTTTCTCGTTTCTGCCACTTTGGATTCAATCCAATGAACAGACTATCAAAGCAAACACGAAACATACAGCTCCAGTGAGCGGCACAGTAAACACAAAGATAGCTAACAGAAACTATAGGCCAACGCCACACGTGAAGATTACAAGATAGCAGTGTAATTTTGAACAGTTCGTCCGGTTTTTTTTTTTGCAGATTGGTCATATTCTTGCCCTGCTGTTAGTTTGTAGTTTTTTTAATAACTGATGCCTGTAAATTTAGACTGCATGGACCC